GAGCACGTGGGACGCGCCTGGGCGGAGGTCCGCCGGTTTGCACAACCTCGGGGGTGGAAGCCGTGAACTGTGCTACCGCCAGGACGTGTGTGCAGAGCCTGGCTTTCGGTTTTGTGCTGTCCGTGCCCGTTTGAAAAATACGTGTAAATTGTACTCGCAGCCTGCTCTTCGGGGCATGTGATTTTAAGAAGTGTTTTCCTAAAACATCGTGAAAAAGTGAAAGAAGAAGTGACACCCCAAGTATTTTGTGTGCTGTAGCCCGAGCTGTACCTTCTCGTCTCAGCTCTCTTCCCCTTCACAAGCATTGAACAGACCCAGTTTGCAAACCCCATTTTATTGGGATAACTGCTCGGTCCACGAATTCAAGGCTTATTCAGTCAGGTACGTCTAGTTTAGATGTACAGATAAAGCTTCACTTTCCTAGAGAACGGGCTTTAGAGTAACTGCCTTTTCTAAGTGATGAACGCAAACATCAGAGATTCTATGAAAATATAATTTTACACACAGCATGTATGTTACAGAAGCAAGTTACAAGTATAGGAATAGGAAAGTAACTTTGAAGAAAGTTGGACAGAAATAAACAGATTCAAAACAGTGAAAAATACGAGTCCTGGGTATGATATCCCAGAATAAATCCACTGAAGTCAGTGTTAGAGCAATGCCAAACTGATTTAAAAGCAACATCTTTTGCTTTTATCAGAGAAACATCTGGCCAACAGCTTTTGTACCCGATACCTCTTACCCCCATGTATAATATTCCTTACATCCTCCTTACGGCCTTTGTCAATCATACAACAGTAAAGTCTGAAGAAGGCTGCAGTGTCAATACACAAATAAATCTGGACCCAGGTACAGCTTATCAGAGCACCAATCCTTCAGCTCCAGTAACAGCAACTCCAGGATCTTCACCTTCGCTGTCACAGAGCAGAGCTGCATACAGGAACCCACGAACAGTGCACTGCTATCAGTTTTGTCTCAGGTGTGTCTTTTTTTTGCTAATGACTTGTGACATTAGCATGGATGGAAGGTACAGGAGGGCCAGCCCCAAAAAGCAAACCTTTTGTCCAGTCTTGCTCCTTCTCAAACAGCCTACTCTTGTGTTTCCATACAGGGTTCAGTCCTTGGCTCTCTGGTGGCAGTAAGCCTATTAAATGTGACCATGGTTAGTTATCTGAACGGATCTAAGAACAAGAACAGGCTGCCTCCTATATCAGCTATCAACTATTTTCTTCATGAGAAAACTGGATAGCTATGGGCAAGGCTGGACTGGAGCCTTATCCATTAGATGCTCTGATCATATTAACAGTGCTCCAAAACCAAACTGCTCATCTGTGAGTAGCAGAGAGGGATATGGAACTGACAACTACAGACTTTGAAAATTGTCTTAATTTTCTCCATAAAATTCTTGCCTGGGTGCGTGGCTCTTGCTGAAATAAAATTCATGTGTAAAACCTGAGGAAAGAAACACTTAAGAAAAAATTTCAATTAATATACAACTGATTGCAGTATAACAACCCCATGCTCTCTTTACCACTAGCAATCATGCAACAAAGAAACCATTTCCAGGGAGTAAGAAAAAAAAAAAATCTTTTCCAAAAGAGACGTATTCTCTCTCTGCAGTCCATCGATGAACTTGTTCATTAATGAACTTCCCTACTACTGTCTGTAAGGAGAAAGTCACCATAACAAATTGTCCAGAACAGGAGGCATGTTGTGTTGTGCCAATGTGGCACAGAGCCACAGAAGAGTATTGAGCTACTTCCTGGACAGTGAAGCAGAGAGAAAATAAATAGTATTGTTGCTGCCTATTATATTTGGCAAAAATATAAAACCCAGTAGGAACTAGTTGGATTTCCATAGTAAAATAAAGTTATAAGCCCAGTGTTGTGTTAACAGGAGACGATACAAAACACCTTAGCATCCACTAGAAAAATGAGTAAAACACAGTATAATGCGTGCAGAAATATACAGAAAGCACTTGCACTAGTATAAAAATATCCACAGTCCTCAGACAAATGTAAACTGTTACAAAATAATTCCAAGAACAGGAACATGTTTACAAAAGGGACATGTTAATATAAAACAGTAAAACCAGGTTTACCCTCTCCCAGCCTCATGCACAGCACAGAAACACAGGGTAGTCCATGGGAGAGCCACGCATACTGAAAATGAGCAGAGTCTTTACTTGCCATTTGACCTTCTAGGTTAACAGTGTCTGCTGCACACTGCAGCCAGCACTCTGGAAGTACAGCTGTCTGGCAGCAGAAGGGCAGAGACATTCAATGCAGAAACAAACAAGTAAGAAAACCCACAAAACCAAACAGAACAACCCACCCTCAGGGATTTTTTTAGGGCTTGTTCTTTCCCAAGCAGTCATTTATTTCTGATCGTTCAGACACCCCAGAAGCAGCATACCAGGGAACTGACGGTGTAGTTCATAGGGTTTATCTTACTGTCGTGGGTAAGCATTTGGTGACCCTGGCAATGAGTGGACACAGCAGCACACACTGATGACCATGCACAGGAGGTGACAAACTGTCTGCCTTGCTGAAAGAGGAGAGGGCACGAGTGCAAGGAAAGAAGCTCAACAAGGAGAGGGATTATAAGTACCTCAGGGAAGCAGCTGACCCCAGCTCCCCTGCAAATGAAATCCTTCAGCAAATAAGCAAGCACCGAGATCCAACGGTCCCCATGGCAACAAAGCAAACCCAGAGGGCCTCAGAAGCAAGCACAGCTTTGGAGAGCAAGTGGGAAAAAGAAGGGCTAGGAAATAGAAGCCTGAGTTTGGGAAAAAGGGAGCTTTACCAAGCTGGTGATCTTTGCTTTAGACATGAGTAAAGCTTTCAGAAGACTGTCTTCCCTCCCCAAGTCAGAATTCTGTACTGTCAGTCTGGGACATCCAGAAAGTTCACTCTGCTCCTGCAGCATGTGAAAGCTGGACAAAACATCAGCTCGCATCATCTAGCAGCTTCTTCTGAGTCATGAAGGCAAAGCTTCACATTTTTTGCCATCAGTGCAGATTTATGTAATACCGCATACAAGAAACCAGATTTGAAGTGCCCAGACCCCAGTCTGCAGCACATTTTGCAGGAACGGAGAAGTAGGGGAAGTGAGCAATGTATCATTAAGGCCTTCAGTGCTTAGCTGACAGAACAGCAAGGTGTTTCTTTCCCACAGATGTGCCATTTCCGTCTCAGAACACTGTCTACATTTGGCCGTGGCAAGTCAGATGCCAGGTGTCCATGCACACAACATGCATTACCCGTTGTTTGCAGAGAAGCCTTCTTTTTTGGCAGCTTGAATTGGACTCCTTCCAGCACACATACTTTTTGGTCATTCTTTGAGCTCAGCAGCCAGTTACAGGTTTCCATAGCAACAAGACTTAAAAGCTGATTAATTCTCTCCATGGTCTTCTTCCACCCAGGCCACAATTTTCCCCTCCCAACCAGGAATGATGTCATCATCATGGAATACCTACAAAAAAAAAAAAAAGGGGGGGGGGGGGGGAAGTCTAATCATGTCTGGAGTCCAATCACTCTTCTACACTGAGAGTAGCATAAAAGGCAGGCATCAAGTCAGAGATCCTAGCTCAGATTTCATTACACAGCCCAGAGAACATGCACCTCATCGATCATTCACTCATCTGAGTAATCTTTTCAGATTTTAGATAAAAACAGATTAGGGCCCTTCTTTAACCAGTAAGCATCAAGATTATTATTGGCGTGTTTTTGACAGGAAAGGTAAAATAAATGCAGGGAACATGCCTTTTCTAATTCAGACTACAATCTCCAGCTGTTTCTGCAGAATGGCTACCTAGTCAGCTGACTGTTCCCAGACAGGGTAACCCTTTGCAGTTGTCTTCATCAATTTGTGAAACAGGAACTATCTCAATAACCTTTAATGAATCCAATCCACACCAACATCAGCCTGAGCATAAACAGGGCTGTAACGCAGCACACAAAGGAAAAGATGCTGCAAACACAGTTATCCCTGAGAAATCTTTAAAAGAAAGCAGGAAAATGTTTTTGAATAAACCACATTTGCCTGAACTGTGTCTCATTGCAACAGGTTTTATAAAGCCACTTGAAGGGCTAGAACTGTATTCTGGGGTTTTGCCTTGTGCCCCCTGAGCAATGCTGTGCCACAGACTGTCCATGCCAATACACAGCTCGTTGCCCAAGAGGCTCCGCAACCCCCAAGGCAATTGCAATCGTATTGATGCAATTGTTCTGGCCGGGGATGAAAACATTCCATTTTAGCACCTTACCAGAGAAGCTTAATCTACAGTTGTGAAAATAGACAGTCTAATTCAGGGGCAAGTTCAAAGATTTCATTAGTTTGGAAGTGAGGTGATCACAGTCTCCAGGGCTGTGTGGTAACACTGAACCCAAAGTAGCCGATAGCTAAATTCCACACTTACCTCCTCCTTGACTGTGCCAAACTCTGGATCCAGGGCTTTGAAGTGGTACCGGTGGGTTCCTTCACGATCAATAGCTACCTTAAAATCCTTCAGGGTCACTTCCCCTAGCCTGCAAGGGAAGAGTTTGGCACTATCCCATGGTACAAAATTACCAGATTTAGCTCAAGTGTTACTACATGGAAGGCAGAGCCACAGCACAAGTCTAGTTAGGCATGTGACACCCTGGCCGCAGGGATGTGAAGAGTGTGCCCCTCCAGGAACACACCTGTCAACCCCAAGGTCCTCTTCAGTGGAAGAATTGCCTCCTGATCTACTAAGAAGCACCTCAAAACAGCTTTTTCACTTTCTTTTTTGCATTGACAACCATAGTTATTTTGACAGGAGCATCCTGCACTACATGCCACAATAGGGCCACTCGGCTGCTTTCTCTTGCTCTTGGAAGTTAGTAAAGAGATGAATCTCTTATTGCTCCAAAGCAAACACATCAGTTAATAGACTACTTTAGGCAGTTTTTCCCAGACAATGGTGTGAAATCCAATGCCCGCGTTAATGTACAGCAAACCAGGGCTAGTGGTAACCATACTCAGAAGAAATCAGACTAATTCTTTAAGGGAGACAAGCACTTTCCACATCAGTGTCAGCAAGGCAAAGCCAGACCTCACCTCTTTGGTATGTTGACCATGAAAGGTGTAAGGGAGCGGTCAGTGAAGTACAACACTTTGGTGCAGGCACTGGTGCTCATCACAGGTGTGCTGTGAGAATGAGGCAGTTCTGCAAAAAAGAGAGCACAATCATTGGGGAACAGCACATCTCCTGCCACAACAGGAGACAAAAGGGATGGTCTCAGCAAGTTTGTCATCACATCAGCGAACCCAATGATGGGAAGAGATTCTTAAGAGGGTGGCTAATCATCCCTGTTGGGCAGGGCCAGGTATTCCCCTGCTTACTGGAAAACTTTCGTTTTTAAGGTAGTGTCACCATTCAACTGTCTTCTTAGCATAGAAGATTTGCCTAGCACTGTCCTCCAGGATTACTGTCCCATCTGCAGAGGGGCTTGCTGTCACCATCTACTCCACACTGTATTCACTACCTCAAGCCCAGACAGGAGAACCTTTCTGGAGAGAAAATGACGGAACGGTATGCCATCCAGTACTGCTACATTGGCACTTTTCTTCACTTACAGATGGATAAAGCACAATGAAGTGACCGATCATCATCAAGGCAAAAGGTTATCCATCTTCCCCCATCGTTCCATTCTAGTCAGCCAGGATGGGTGTTTGTGCATGGAGTTTTCTTTGCTCATTTGTGTTTCTTTCTCTGACTACTGCCTTGTTTCCTGCTCCCCTGCAATGTGCTGTGCCAAATGCAGAAGTAGAAGGTGGTACACACTGAGTGACTCTACAGTTTTAAGATTTCTAGCAGGCAGAAAACACTATGGACATCCACTCAAAGGCTTTCTAATTTAATAAGTCTTCAGAGCCACCACTTGGAGCTTTTTACACCTACAACCTTACAGACTTTCTAGGTGATGTTTACAGACAACACTGGAAAAAACCAGTCTTCATTAGTAAAAGCAAACGTGGAGCTGCTGCAGCTGGAGTCAGGAAATGTGGTGCCAGAAAGGGCTGTTATAGATATATATGAAAGGAGATAGACACTGAGCGGGGAACAAAAGAGGCAACTGTACAGTTCCAGTGTCCACTAGATGGTGCAAGCCAGCAGGAAAGCTGAAATAACATCGCATTTCTCACGCATCCCAGCAGTAATTGTTTGTCATAGTTATTTATACTGCAGTACTACTGAAATGGCCCAGACAGACTCCCACTGTGATGGTGCTTTACACACAAGCAGCCATAGATTGTCTCTGCCCCCTTTCCTTTGCAATGAGGTCTAGTCTGTACACCAAATGACTAAAGGGAGGAAAGCGAGCTCTGGTAAAGGGAATAAGAAGCTGGAGGTGGCAGATTCCTGAGGGGTTGCTATGCCCTGGACTCTGGCCAGGAAATCTGAGCAATGAATTTGGCAGCAGGAGGGCAGGACCTGAAAGGCACTTACTCGATTTGGGAGGCCAGGAGTCTCTACACTCATTTGTTGCTCTGCTTGCTGGTGATTTCCCCCGGATCTAGGATGCAAAGCCAAAAGAGCAAGAATAGTGTTACTTCCCAGGTGGAGCTCTCATTGCTTCTTATATTCAAGTTGTGTGTGAGGGGCAGAGTGAAGAGCCAAGTGCCCTATGAAATCTTTACCCTTCTCTCTTGCCTCTTCTGTGTTTCCATGCGGTACAGCCGTCCCATGAGGCTGGAGATGCCCTGCTCCAGGCTGTCAATGGTGTGGTGCTGTGGATCATGGCCACTGAAACTGTTCCTGAGGCTGCGAAGGGCATCACGAACCAGCTGCAAGTCATTTGTCTGCCCAAGAGACCACAAGTCAGTCAGACTAACTCTAGGCTGTTTTCCTCCCATCTAGAGCCACAGGTCTTAGAAAGGGGAAATATCTCTTAACAAGATAAACGCTTCCAGGGTATTTGGAGCCCTAATCTGCATCTGTCTGGGAAAATATCCCTTAGGTGCACTTACCCCTCGGTGGGCTGCGGGAGCAACTCCTTTTCCTGCTGTCTGGAGGAAGCCATTGCTCTCAGCACTATGACCACTGTAAGCCATCACCTGTTATGGGGAAGATGTGTGTGCCACTACAAATGTAAGTGTTAAAACCTGCCCAAAGACCCAACTTTGCAAACTTCAAAATGATGAGAGGGCATCAAGACTTTCCACATCAGTGATATAACTCCCATGTTGTACCATGTAAATACACTAAGGACTATGCAGGCAGACCTATAGGTCAGAGCACAAACACGACTGCTTACGTACAGGTGGAGAAAAGAGGCAGAGACAGGAAAGGGCTTGCTGCTACATCACAGAGGGCTCTCTGCAAGCTCTAGTGAGCACAATCAGTGTTCGAGTGGCACTGTGCAGGGACAGATATTGGGGCTGCCACTCTTTCCACCAAGACAACTCCAAGTGCTCAATACCAGGGTTAACAGGAAAAGGAGGAGATAAGAAGCTAAGCCCTGGCCTAACTATTAGCCAGCGTCAGAGCTGAAGCTAGAAGCCAAGAGTCTCTGGCTTCCATTCACCCCTGTTTCATCCCTTAGGATATTAGCACAACAGGCTAAGCCAGAGTGCTCACTGCTGAGAGCTTTGGTAAGTTGGATGCCTTGTGGAATCTGGCTGCCTTGGTTATGGCACTGACACTGAGATTGCAGAGCCAGGCTTCTCTGGGATAAAGTGGATGATTTCTGGAAATAGGTAGCTAGACTGTGCTGGTCAGGAACATCAGTCCAACCGTCTGATGTTTAGATCAGGCCTCCCATACCTCTTCAGCTTCTCTCTTCATGCAGTGAGCTAGCAGGGCCTCTTTGTGCTCCAGCTCCCGCTCCAAATCCACCTGTGAGGGGAGTAAAAGAGTCAGCACAAACTGACCTACCAAGTGGGTGCCAGCTCTCAGGGTATCAGTGCAGCCCACCTGCTCCATACCTGTTGGTAGCTGGCCTCAGAAAGCTGCCTCAGCATTTCATCCAGTTTGGTCTGATGCTGCTGTAAATGCCGATCCTTCTGGCCCAGTTCTTTCTGCAACACAGTAATCAAGAGAATCAACTGGACAATAAGGCTCACAAATCATCTTCCAATGGCAGGGAAAGTTACGTCATCTACCATGATGTGGTTTCTCTACAGGCTGACTTACACAATGTGTCTACTTCTAGCTAGATGTTAGAACTGAGTGGAAAAGCTTTCTTTTTAAAAAACAAAACAAAACAAAAAAATCAGTCAGGTTGTTGTTGCTCAAAGTCCCCAGCAAAGATCCAATACTCAGGCCAGACAACTGTCCCAGAGAAAACAGATTCCTGAAGGACTAGTGAATAATCAGGTGACCCAATCTGACAGGCTTCTGCACAAGTGTTAGACACTCAGCAAACCATCACCAAAAACTAAAATAACAGATCTGCTATAAAAAGCTGTGGGTAGAACACAAAGAACATCTGATCCCTCCATCTCATTACAAACATCCATGGCTATTGCAGCTACTGAAAACTCCCCAGTGCCACTCCCAAAAGTGACTGAGTGTCAGAGAGACAGCAGTCACATTCACAAAACTGAAGAACCACCAGACGCTTCCCCCAGCAAAGCCTCCAGTGAAGAGAGGTTCCATTACTTTGTATTCTGCCAGTAGCCGGTTTCTCTCTTCAACCTTCCTCTGAAGGTCAACCTGCAGAAATAACACATAGGTGTGAAGTAGGTATTCCTGGAGAGTTATGACAACCTCTTTTCCCCTTGTGCTAAAGGGTGTGATCCGAGACCAAATATTTGCAGAGTTCAAGGGAGCTGGTTTCTAAGGATGGCTGGACAGTTCCCTTCCTTGCCCTTCTCTCTCCAGAGAGACACTGTACACAGCAGTTCTACCTGTCAAAGTGCCACTTATTAACCCAGGGATGACAATGATGAAGGAAGAATGCAACTATACTGAAAACATCAAGGGAAGCCCCTCCCTGTTTCAAGTTAATGTCTTGCGAGGACAGGAAGTGGGAGTGAAGAAGAAACTCCAGCAAGTCTCATGGTACTAGTTTTCACTACACAGAGACCTTTGACTGGTCGTTCACTAGCCCACAACCCCAAGAACTATGCTGCAACCACCAACTCTACCCTGTGGCTGCTGGAGCTCCCAGGCCCACCAACCTCCTTCTAAAATAATCTAACCCTCAGCAGCTCAGTGACTCACGTTCTGGTTGTGCAATTCCTCCTTGTCCATGTTTGCTCTCAGCAGTTCCTGCTTTAGCTGAAGAACTGAAGCATCCTGTTGAATCAGCCTTTGCTGTAAAGCATCCTAGGAAAAGAGGTCATATGTAGGGAGGTGCAAGATAGAGGCAGAGACCCTTCCCAGGGAAGTGAGTGACCTACACCAGTGTCCATAACAGGGTGGGGCCACTCACAGGGCTGGAGTGTTCCCAAGGCAGCAGAAGGTATACAGATATCTGCCCAATGGGCTCTCAGTCCTCCTGTCTTTCTTTTACCGAAAAGTGATTTCCCTGCCAACATTCCAGCCATCTGAGCCAGAGGGATTTCTGTGCTGAACTTCCTGCTCCAGAAGTGGCCTGACAATTTGCTCTTATGGAAGAAAATCGCAGTGTCTTTGGAGGGTCTTTTCAGTGGCCTATGGCTAGTGTCTCCAGTCATGCATCTGCAGCATCCAGAGGGCGGAAAGAGGCCAAAATCAGCCAAGGACTCAAGGAAACTTAAGCTCTCAGTGTGACCTAGTTGTGCAATGAAATTCTCTCTGAAGAGGCCAAAGTCAGGACTAATTCCCCACCCTTCACTCAGCGTTAGGGAGAAGCCGCAAGCTCCACCTTGGACAGCTACCGCTGCTTGTTTCCTTCTCAGGAGCCTGACAGCCAGCTCTAAAAATACCTCTGCTCAGGAGTAGACTTAGTGTTCAGAACTCCAGAGGAAGAAACTGAGCAAACAGGAGCCAAAGTTGTGAAAAATGCTGCAGCTGAAGAGCACAAAGGTAGTCCTGTGCTCTTTTTCCTCTGCTCTCAAGAATGAGTTCACTGGGCCAATCCTACTGTGCATATCCCAAGACCGATGCAGGGGCAAAGGGGGAAAGAGCCATGAGAACCAAGCAGGCATCCTATGCCTTCTATTTTGTTTAGGGGAAACAGACGGAAGATGGGCCTTTTGACCACAATCGTACAGACAGAAACAGAACGCGGGATACCTAACTCCTTGTGCTTGCCTTAACTGCAGTCTCTCCCCAGAGCCAGAATCAGACCATAGGATCCCCCACCTCGAAGTCAACTAAAACAAGTCCTTGCACAATCTGAGATTCCTTAGAGATATATGGTTGCTACTGGCCCTACTCATGGGCTGCAGCAGAGTTTAAAGCTTTACCATATTTATATATATTCTACTATATACATTTGATGAAGTGCCCCCATCCTCACCTTTATTCCCTGTAGGTTTCGAGCTTCTTGTTTGTATTTCAATAGCTCCTTCTGTAAATGCAACACAATTTGATTAAATGGTATCTTGTCACCCCTTCAGAATCAACCAAAGTCAGTTTTCTATGTCCCCAGACACCTGCTTCAAAAGAAAGCACATCCTAACTTTTCCCCACAGATCAAAAAGCATGTCAGGCCCTGAGCCATTTTAATGAGTTACAAACATGACAAAATAGTTAAGCAGCTTCTTAAGCCTACACTATTAAAGCCATGAGAGAAAGATTTCCTAGTCCTCCAAATCTGTCCTTCAGGGTAATGTCAAATACTTCTCTCCCAGCATCAGAACTGGTGCCAGAGCCAGCATCAGCAGAAAGCTGAACTAAGGCAGGGTTGACAGGGCAGGTTAACTGCATTTATTTCCTACTAGAAAGACTGCTTATATTCAGACATGGCTAGAAACCTAACAGCTGTCCTGGATAAGATTTTGAGAAGCCAGTTCAACCAGAAAGTCTCCAACTTCAAGAGTATGCAGGAAAAAAAAAAAAAAATGTATTTCAGGGCTCATTTAAATTCCAGTAATATTCACCCCAACCCCCATCAAGAAGGACAGAGTCTGCAAAGATCTCTTGACCCAAAATCTCTTTCCCCTTCATCTATCCCCCTCTAACCTTTAGGTCTTGATTTTCTTCCACACTCTGGTCCAGGCGACTTCGGATTATGATCTGAATGTTAAAAACCATTATTATTATTGTGCAAGACACTTGCCTGTGGCAAAACAGTGCAAAGGGCAGCTTGATCAGAGAAATGTAGGTACGGCAATGTGCTCACCAGTTGCTCTTCAGGGCAGGCTCCGCGTTCACAAAGTTCAAAGGACCCTTCCTGCTCATCCTCAGGTAAAGATCCATTGAGCAACAAAGCCTGGGAAGATGAAGGGAAAAAAAAATCTCCTCTTCAGGGATTTCAAAGGAAGATAGCCTAGCTGCAGCTCTGGCTAACAGTCATTTATCTCAACAGTTTCTAACCAGTTTCATTTTCCATTTCTGCTGACTTATTCCCCTCAAAAATGAGTAGAATTCTTCACGAATGAACAAGATTTATCTTCTATTGTAAAAGCTCTCCCAGAGATATCTGTCAGCCAATACTCTTCCATACAGAAAGACACCAAACAAGAACAACAACTCAGATTTTCAGGGAGTGAAGTCTGTCCCAGGCCTCAGTCCAAGGGTAGCCTTCACTACAATAACAGATTTCATGTCCAAAGCAGAGACTGAACCAGTTTACATTGTAAGGCTTCTCTTCTAGAATGAGACTAAAGCATCCCTTACTGAAAGAACTCATTCTCCTCCCTACACATCTACAAAGACTTCAGAAACTGGATATTCAAGGAAGTCTTAATTCTGTTCTACACGTTCAGAACTGTTGACAACATGAGGGAAGAGCCCTCACCCACACAGACAGTGAAAATCTTAAGCTACGCCCCGTGCTTGAGGAAGACTACTAGAAGCACAGTATTAACTCCTTCAGCAGCTCCAAGGCAGCCCAGATGTGTGCAGGAAGCTGCCAGAATTCCCACAGTACACTGAATCCAGCCTGAAGGAGGCGAAAAGCATGCACTGTAAGAAGTGTGACTAGCAGGACCAGGCCAGATCTCCAGCAGGCTATACCATACCAGCTTTCTCTGGTGGTTTTTACATTGACCTTTCAGTCCCTAACTTCCAGGACTCGGGGCACTTTGTATGTGCTGGAATGTTGGATAACTGGACACATTGGAAAAAGTTGTGCCTTTCTTTCAGTTAGCTCTCTAGTTTATTTTATTTAAACTCCACGGCTAGAAACAAAATATCCCATTTGGAATTATACTCCAGTTTAGCCCCAAAAGACTTCAAGGCTGACAGGTCAGGTTCTGCCTGCTGACAGAATTGTCCAGCAAGTACCAATCTGTATTCAGTTAATGCAAAAAGCTCTTTGGAAACTGTTTTCTGAGTGTATCCCAAAGTCCTCCCAGCAGGACACCCAAGCAGGAATCACACAGGAACATAAAAAGCTGCCATGCTTTTAGCCCCTTATGGAATATATGTATATCAGTCCCCTGATATTTCAACCAAACTTTCGTGAACTGGAGGCTCTTAAATATTGAGCAAGAAGGGGGGGGGGGGGATCAATTAATCAAATCCAATTTCTTGGCTAGCAATATCAGCTGCCTCTTCCTACTTCCAGGGAAAGAGGGGAAAGCAATGCCAGCTGCTCACCCTCACTCCTGAAACATGGGGCCAGGGCTGCAGGAAGAAGACATGCCAGTCCCTCTAGTGCTCTCTCCCCCTGCTCCTCCTGGGCACATAATGCAACAGGATTTTACCAGTGAACCAAGCGATTTTTTTTTTTTTTTTTTTTTTGGAGTCTTTTGTTTCCTGTCCATTGTCCACAGGGAAAGTGCCTGCCCACACCCCACCCTCTGCTCGGGCTGCCTATGCTTCTCTGCTTCTCACACAATCTCTGCTTTGTTTACTGGCACATAAATATTTACAATTCAAAGCCAGCATGGTTCCCAGCACAAACAGAAAAGAATATTCCTGAGAGAGTTCAGGGTCTTTACCATATGGATCAGGGGCTCTACTACCCATGCAGAGTCAAACACACTGGGCTGAGAATCACTTGGTCAGAGGGGGACAGGAACAGGCAGCAAGGAAAAGGTTCCACAAATAGTTGCATAGAGAATGTGCTATAGTTCAGCTTAGCTCACTGAAATTCAGACTGATGCAAGTCTGTGTGACCCCTGATCAGCTCTGTGAATCTTGATTGATTTCCTGACATTCCTTGTCTCTCTGCATTACTTCCGATCACAAATCACAGAAAGACTGCTGTATTCTCTCAGGCTGCTAACAAAACCAGCAGGCTGCTAAGTGCCCTGGTGAAGAATGCGAGTCCCATCCCCAACATGTGGGAAAACACCGCTGTATCTTTACCATTTTGCACAGTAACATATGTGCTTTGCACAGGAGTTAGCATAGCATCACAGGACAGAAGACCAGAGCCCAGCTAGGATCTCAACTCCAACAAAAAGACAAAGCAGACACAATCACCTTCTAAACACAGGCTTTGTTTTAGATTCTCTACAGCGGTTCAATTCTTACCTGCATTCAGGGTGCCTTTTGCCCTCTCATAGTCCACTTAAATTACTATTAGTGAGTACCACTGATCTTCAGTCATCACAGCAACATAACCTTCCTCTCTCTCTCCACACCCTTCTCTCTCCCTCCCTACTGTATAAGAGCCTCAAATCATGTCAAGACTGAGTTTTTGGAGAAGCCTGAGCTAAGAGAAAAAAAAGAAAAAAGGCTGTGTCTGAATTGCACAGACTGATGTTAAAATCCTTTCTCTGAAACCCTCGTAAATATACTGGGGCTTTCCTCCTTCCCCAGGCTTAGTTAAGCATGCTACACAATAATGGGGGACAGGTATACCCCACCCCAAGCAAGACTATGGCTGGATCCAGCTGTCTTCTAAATTGCATCTGCAACAACAGAAAGGATGGTTTTGGCATTCTCAATTCTGGAGAAGGTGACCAGCACCAAAACACAATTGCAGGAGCCAAGAGAGCCTAAACGTTGCAAGAAAGGAAGATGTCAGAGTGCTTAGTCAGTAGCATTCAGTTGCTGGATAAGGTCTCCACTGCCTGCAGACAATATACCCCAACACCAGCTATCCACACTATCAGAAATAACTGCTCATTCATGAAGAGCTCTTCTCTGAAGGGATTCATCTCACAGGGTGATACACAGGGAAGAGCCAGCGTCTCTATTTAACTAAGGTGACCCAAGAGACCAACGGACTTATTGCAGAATCACCCCAAGAGACCTCATTAGACAAGGACCTTTATTCAAATATCTGAGTTCCAGGCCAGTGTCTCAGCTGCAAGATAACCTGTTTTCCAACTACGGCTGGTAGGAAGAGAAATGCATGTAGAAGGGAATGCTGGCCAAGCAGAAAATCTATTACCTGCAGACCTGAAATCATCTTCTTTGCTTCCTCCATTTCCTTTTCCAAATGGTCCTGTTGTTCCAAAAGCTGCTCTTCCCATGAATTCTCCAAAAATGACCCAGGGTTGTCTGCCTGCCACTCAGGCTGGAAATGAGATTCTGTCCCTTCTGGAAAAGAGAGCAACTGAATGTGGTCATGACAGAGAGAGAAGTCCAGAAAAGACTTGCACCACACAATAATTGCCTACTGTTCACAGTAGCTATCACTAACAAACCAGTATATCTTCTAGCCAGTATCAAGGAAGTTGCTACAGCTGTAACATCTTGTCTAATCTCAAGGATTTATGCCTCATTCTTTATGCAAAGAAAGCTTTCCTGCACACATATATAGAAAAGATAAGCATCTTTCTCCTTCTTTAACTTTGCTGCATCTGATTCCTCAGTCTGGAGATTTCAGGGCACATCACAGGGAACAATGTGCTGCACCATAGAACCAAAGAACAGCAGGTTGGAAGGGACCCCAAGGATCATCTGGTCCAACCTCTCTTGGCAAGAGCACCCCCTAGGCAAGGTGGCCCAGCTCCCTGTCCAGATGAACCTCAAAAGTATCCAGTGTTGGGGAAGTCACCACTTCCCTGGGGAGATTATTCCAGTGGCTGGTTGCTCTTGCTGTGAAAAGTTATCCTCTTATGTCCAATTGGAATCCCCCCAGGAGTAACTTGTACCCGTTACCCCTCGTCTTTTCCATGGGACTCCTTGTAAAAAGGGAGTCTCCATCTTCTTTGTAGCCACCCTTTAAATACTGAAACATGGTGATATGGAACATGGAACACCAAAGAACCTGTTTAAGTCAACTAACTCACTTTCAGCCACTCTTCTTGTCTTTGTTTAATGACAGGAACGAAGTTTTATCATTGTTTTGTACCTAGCCATTCCAACATTAAAAGAAGGAAACAATCTCATGCTGTTTCTTGAGTAACTTCACACTAATGGATCACTGGAATTAATCACCCCACCTTTGTCACTACAGCAATGAAGCCTAATATAGGAAAACAGACAAGTAAGCGGAGCATAACCCAAGCGATTTTCAAGTTAAGATAACAGTGTATGAAAGAAAAAGTTAACAGTAATTCAGCTGGAATTATGTTCAGGGCTTTATGCCCCAAATCAACTCTGACTAGTGCAAATCATTCTCTTATCCACTGACGTTGACATATTATGGCATTATTGTAGTGTTAAAAGTTTTGGGATTCAGTTTTATGTGAACAGATACTCGGCATCACATTCTCTACATTCATTGCAGTCACTGGGGAACTTTTCAGCAAGTTGATGATACAAACAAATCCCAAAGAAAATGTGAGCTGAAAAGCATTATCTGCAAGGTACCTGTTTTAGTTTCTGTTTCTTCAGTGTGGATGATCACAAGTCTTTCCTTTTCCTCTGATGGGGCTACAGTGGATTCACTCTTTGCACTATGGATAGGACTGGGTGATGTGAGACTGCAGAGGAAAGGAGAACAGTTAATTTTAGTGCTGATCAGCATCATCCTCATCTAAGCTAAAAGTGAATATGCAGGCAGGCTTGTTGAAACTAAGAATTATCTGCATACTAGAGAAGCCATTAACAAACCAAAGCAGGAATGTAACTTTTCCATCACTACATCAGTGTCAAAGCGGACTAACTGATAAGTAGCACAATGTGTCTCTTCATTTTCCTTAACAGAATGCAAGTTTGAGACTGCCACCACAGAATTCACACACATGCACACAGGGGTAAAACCACACTCTACTGAAGGCTGGCTCAGAAATAATTTATTGCAAGCCTTATGTTCATACTACAAGCTAAACAGCCACCCTGGCTTGCTTCATCTCTCGCTCTGGCTTTCAGAAGCATCTCTTCATGAACTTGAATTTCCAAGGGCAAAATACCTTTGAAAGTCAGATACCACTCATGTTCTTAGGTTAAAAGTTCTTGAAGATACACACATATTTTCACTGGAGCCATCTCAACTGACAGTGATGTTCCAACAATCTTTTTTCAGAAATTTTTCCTACATGCATCACCCAGACAACATGAAAAGGTGGCTGAAGATCACTGACTCATTCATTGTACCTCTAAAGTTGCAGGAACTAATCCTTGCAAGTGTGACCAGGAGTTAATTTTTCATTCCCCCCAACACAGAAACAAAGGACTGAGAACAAAAATAAAACAGTGTGGAAATAATATAATAGGTTTAGAAAAATAAGAGGCTTCGACAACTTGTCTTCCCCATCTTCCCAACACTGCTGCTACATATTCCACAGCTCACACAAAATCAGAAAAGCCTTGCAATAGAGATGGAAATTACTTACTTCCTAGCAGCTCCGTCTGGTCCACTCCCACAGCCAGTGCTGGCCTACTTCTCATTTGCATTACAGACCTTCAAGCAGTCTAGTCTTAATGGTCCAGACTAAATGGCCTTTTGCTATGTTAAAGCAGAAGAGCAATGCGACTTACTAAGTGAAAGAATAACCGTGTTCTAATGGGGATCTCTTAACAGCTACAGTACCTGTTCTCTCCTCCTCTGATAGAGTAACTGTGACTGATAAAGGGGTCCAGCCCACCTGCGTTTCCTCAAGGATTCACCTTCAGGAAGGCTAACTCCATTAAAGCAGTCTCTGATTAGGTACATTTTGTATACGACACTTGAAACAAGCCCCCTCCTGCTTGTTGCTGAATGGGTGCAGAGCATAAAATTAAAATAATTGTTTGGGAGCCCAGAGAGTACTATTGGGTTTGCATTATACAATAAGGGTCAGAGGAAAGGATGAATCTTTCAAACAGCATAGCTACAAACAGGAAGCCCCTCTGGGCTTCAGAGGGATTTTACTTCCATCTAGGAAGAGAACTTGATAATGCCCCTGCATATTCTCAGCTGATACTCTGAATGTGCCATCATCCTGATAAGGCCACTGAGGAGTGCATTGCTGGTTCTCATCCATGCAAAAGGTGAAAGAATGAGAGCTGTCCTAGAAAAACAACATTAGCAACTGTTGGGTGAGAAGAGGGTAAAACTTAGGGATAGGCAAGAGCAGGGAACTAGAAAGAAAAATGAGCAGTACAAAAACCAGGGGATTCAGAGCCTGGAAATAACATTCTTCTCTTCCAAAGTCTACTCCTCTCAGTGCTGGACCCACAGCCCAAAGCAAATACAAGCAGGGGGTGGGGTTAAGTGGTCAATACAGGTCTCCACAATATAAAGTTTTACAGATAATTTCTTAGGCATTCCTGTGTCTACAGTCTCCTTTCCAGGCAGTTCCCCTTTTTTAAGAGGCCAGTGGGTTCACATGGCATCAGTGACAACCTCTCAAACCATGCCAAACAGTGAGAGCACCACTGAGATGCACTCAGATGAAGAGGTAGTACAGGTCAGGTTGCCTCACACATTAATGCCATAAAGTTAAAGCTGGAAACATTTCTACGTTTTTTGTATTGGTCACTAAACCCATTTGAGTATGAAATATCAACCAATGTAATTTGTTCTTTAAAGTACATAGCAATTCACGATTAAAGCATGCAGAAATAAGTGCCGGGAAATTAAAGCTATTTAAGACAGATTTATGATGCAAACTGTTCCACTTTATTCCTTTTACCAGTTGATTTCTTAACCCATATTCTTCCTCCACTGAGTCTCACAGTTGCCATACCTGCACAGTCAAGGCTTTAGGGCAACAGCCCCAGTGATAAATTTGAATTCTCATAATCTTAAGAAACACCCCATCCCTGCTGTTTCAAATGACAACGGCAACAATCGCTCACCATTTGACCTGCTTCCCTCCCATGATCCCACTTTAACCTTTCGCCTCACAGAATCCGTTTCCCAGGGAGCTTCAGGATTCTGGTTACAGACATGCCTTGTCCTTTCACATGCTCAGAATTCAGTGCAGAAGATGCCAGCTTTCGTCAAACTACTGAAGAAATATTTGCAAGCCAGTCCGCTTCACGTTAGCTGAAAGATTCCCAGCAAGAAAAAAACCTCAGGGTCTTTGCAAGAAACCATCAGATGGCAGATCAGCAGCCCCCACACACGTATTTTGATTCCAGAGCCAGGGAATTCTGCAGCCTGTGTTTTGCTTTTGCTGGTTTTTCTCTCGGGTTATTTGTCTCTTGCTGCTGCATTTTGGTCAGCTGCGCACCCAGTTGTTTTCATCACAAGGACTGTGCTCTGGATTTTCAGCGGTGTTTTTCATCCCATTCTGCCCTTCTTAGACTCCAAGCACCTGCTGCAGAAGCCAATGAACAGCCAAGAGAAGGTGTTCCTGCAAGCAGTAGGTTCCCTCTTCCAGGCGTGGATGCGGTCTCGGAAGAATGCATGCAGCACTTCCCAGCCCTATGCACTGTTTCCTCTTCCTCGCTATCTCCAGCTCCCTCTCCCTCCTGCTGTCACACAGCCTGTGCAAGGCAGAGCCTTTTCTCTGAGATGCTTGGCTCAGAGAGGGGGAGGGAAGGCTGATGGAAGGGGAGGGGAAAGGGAGATGGATGGGTGAGAGGCTCAGTGGCCTGGGAATCCATCTGATTTTGGCAAATTTTCTATGAATCATTTCAATTGCCTTTGCTTATTAAAGCTTTTGTCTCTGGGAATTGTGTTATTCAGGCTGTGAGCTCTCTTACTAAAGAGTTAATGCAGAAATGAGCTGATGCTAGGCAGGGGATGCTGCCCTGGGACAGGCACTACAGCAGTACAATTAGATGGGGGGAGGGGGGTGTTGCAGTTAATAACCACATCTCTCACTAATAAAAAAAGTAGCTTGTTTCTCCCAGCCAGTTCTCATAACTAAGCTAGTACATTTCTGTCTGGAAGGAAAGAGAAACAAGCAGCTTGTTTTCATCATGAAGCCTGGTGTCAGCAGAAGACATCCCCAGGAGCTGGAGGTCTGATTGCTCCGTTTCTTTTGGTACATACACTTATGTAAAGATTCTCACAATATTATGTCTTATCAACAATGATATTCCAATTACCATATGGTAAGAGAACTCATAACATTATGCAAAAAACAAAATACAAGACAAGGTTATTTAGGATATGCAGAGAAATTTTCACTCGCCACCAAAATACAGCCACATGAGCAAAGAGCAGTTACCTGACAATCCATTATAGGGTAGAACAGTACACAAAATACTACAGCTACCTTAAACCGAAGAATGAGCAGAGGGAGCAGCATATTTCACTCTCTGTCCTACTGAGATCACGGTTCAAGAGCCAATACTAAGTCATTAGCCATGAAATCCTGTTGCCAAGACCAGAATTTTTACATCTCCCCTGGAATGACAGCTTCAAAAGTACACTCTGCTGACATCATGTGGAGGCAATGGTACAATACTGGCTCACATGGAGTTCCCACACTCTTCCAAAGGTGTATGTCGGTATTTATAAACATGACTTCACAATGATATATACCAAATGTTGGGGATAAGTACAAACTATTGTATTTTTTTCTCCTCTGCTGGGCCAAGCAACCTTAACTCTCAGGTACACAAAGGCCTCTTCTTACTACGGAGCATCAAAAGTGGCCGGTGAAATCCTGTGGAGACATCTTGCCTGCTGAGAAACTGTCAGTGGCAATCTGTCCCAGGAAAATGGACCTCCTCACTCCTGCACAAATTGAGGACAGGGGTGGGGCTGGTGGGTAGCTAGCTGAGGCACTCTCAGGGAGCAGCTCAGGCAGGACAAGGAAACAACAAAGCAGAGCTGGGACTTACACTGGGGACTGGAAACTGCGGATCAAAGAGAGCTGCATCTATGCCCATACAGCTCTGTTCTTATTCTGTTCCAGCAAAGATTAAATGGAGCAAAGCATCATAACCAGAGGGAGATGTAATATACTCAGTTACACAGTTCTTTGTCTACAAGCTAGTTTCTTGTTCTCTGGGGAAAAAAGGAAAGGCTGTCCTTTACTATGAATGTATCCATACAGAATCGGGTCCCCCTCGTTTTTCTTCAAAAGCCCCTTCAGCTATGCTGTCTCTCCTGTATCCATGAAAACAAACAACACAGCCAAGTGACTTCCTTCTCCCCTCCACTGCTCGAGTAAAGTGGGGCAAGAGTTTTGATTTCTGCCCAAAAGCAAAGAGTAGTATGGAGAGCTTGTAAGGCACCAGTGTAATGTGTTGTAACTGGCACGTGCTGCTCAGGTTTACAGCTGCAAGTTGTGGCACCTCCTATTGGAAATGGAATATATGCTGTCATTCTAACCAATCCTGTCTTCTACAGCTTCCATTTCCTTAGAAAGCCTCCATTTGCACCAGCTTGACCTTGCTTAACTTGTGCAGTCAAGAACCCCAAACAAGGCTAAGGCTGTTTGTAACACAGAGCACATAATTCTCAGGATTCAAGTCCTACTTCAAAGGAGAAAGTCACCTCCAGTGGAAACCACACTGAACTCTGACTTTCAGGCTTCACAGCAGTATCCGGAAGATTTTTCATTAAAATATTGAAATGCTGCACTTTAGATTGAAGGTGAAAGTCTGGGGGATAGAAGGGTAAATTAGATAACAGTAAATCTAGAGACAATTAAAGATAATGGATGAGGCCATAATGGTAATGAAGACACAGCTGCAGATCCCCCCAGGACCATATATCTGGATTAAAGACTGGTGTGTTCCTGTCACTGCTGTTCAAATCCACATGCCCTCTCACTGCCATGTCTCTGCATGGTGTGAGGTTTGTTGGTTTAAATTCCTTTCCTCCACATGTTTTCTATCAGCTCTGAAATATTCATCCTTTGCACCCTAGCTACTCTGGCCCTTTCTTCCTGTGAAGCACGCCACAAACTCCATTTCAGCATTCCTCTTGTCAGCACTCCCTCAAAAGGCTCCACCTGTACATTCAGGTTCCCAGTAAAATCTTTAGCTGTGTCTTTCATAATTCTATTCCCCTGGTCTCACTGAGAGACACTCCAGAGCTTTAGACAAGTGTTACTCAGAAGTTCTGACCTCTTATCTATGCAATCACATCATCATTAATAAGATCGATTTTCTCTGTGGGAGAAATGGCGGTAAACCACTGCTTCATGTTGGTTCCTGAGGCTTCATTCTCCAGATCAGGCAGGAGACTATACACTGAGAATCTTTTCTATCAGAGCTAGCAAGATCACAGAGATAAGGGCACTCTAGGGAATGTCAGACAAAGGACCATGAGGTGACACATCTTGGCAATAAAGTTCCTTACCTGGAAGAGTGGGACTCCAATGGCATGTTCTGTTGCCCTTCATACTGCTGCACCAGTGCCCGGACACTCCAGTAGGGATTTTCAATCTCCTCATCCATGCTGCTATTTCTGGAGATGATAATCATAGAATGAGGGAAGCCTCACCTGATAGAGCAGAAATCCTTGTCTCAAGAAGGAGGGTAGGAAAGCTAATGAAAGAAGAGACAGCTAGAAAACCAACAATTAAGAAAATTCTCCTATGAGGGAGCTCCATCCCATCTTCTTGGTGTGAGAGAAACACAGGCAAACAGCCCTCCCCTTTTAAATTCATCCCTAATTCTGTGACTAGAAAACTACAAAAGCTCTGGAAAGGCAAGGAAAAGAACAGAATGGCACAAGGACTAGCTTCTCTGAAAAACTCCTGGCCCAAAGTCTTTGCAGGAGAAACCTTTAACATTTAGTTTTTTAACAAAATATATCATTTCAGCCTCATTTCCAAACTCCTTCATGGGTACTCCCTTGAGCCAATATAATATGGGCAAATGACCTTCAGTTGTATAAATTAAACCCTCAATAGATGACCATCTGGCTTGCATTTAAATGTCATTACTAATATTATTATAATCCACATAGCACCTTTTGCAAGCGTTAAATGTGCTTTTCAGAATTACACATTCCTTCTATACACAGGTCATTTTCCTTCATTATCACCAGAACTCCTCTGCTTACATGGTAGGCTGCATCAGCTGATTAACAGCACACAACATGCTACATCTGCCTATGTAGCACTAAGCATAACATTGGGGTGAACAGCAAAGCAGAAGACAGAATGTATAGCCTTGTACAGCAGGCTCAATGCCTCAATTCTGGAACTGCTCCTGGATCTGTTATCAGTACTTTTTCTTCACTTGAAATGAAGATGTCTCCAGGTAAACAGCATCAAGAAAGAGCACTGTGCTCCGCATGAAATGGGGAAAAAGAGGCAACAGAGTTCTATCTGGCTTAGCCAGAAGAACTGTTCTTTTCCAGCGAGATAGAGATCTCTCAGTTATTTTGCTGTTAAATCTGAAAAGAACCTGGAATACCTGCAGTCTTCATCATTAAGCAGCCATGCTCAGTCAGTACTCCCCTTTGTTAGGTCACTATCTACTTCAGTTTCAGTAAGAGAGCAGTATTTTGTCTCTATTTGTTTGCACAACAGGAGAGCTACCTCACACCAGACATTGTCAGGATAGAGAAGCATCTATTTTAATAGCAATTGTGTCCATCCGCTATGATAGTCTGACCTCACATGACCAGGAAAAACTCAATACCTTTGTCTGTGCCGGAAAACATCCCGTCCGGATTGCAAGACATCTTGACGAACATCCGCTAGAGCGGCCACTGCCCCTTGGGCCACTGCAGCAGCTGATCGAGGCCTGTGACTGGCAGACGATGCTGACAAGCTCTTCCCCACCGTGCCAGCAGGGCTATGATTCACTGCTCTCCCGGAGCCTGGTTTGAAATGAGCAGCTAAGGCCAGGATCAACCTCATGATAGATTTCAAGTTCCCATCAACAATATCTGCCAAATGCAAATAAAGCCAAGGACGATGCCATTAACATGAAGTCCCACCAGAGTTGTATGTGACCAACAAGCGTGAATATAATTAAACCCAGTGGGACCATGCCACAAAACGAGGACTATACAAAAAAAGACAGCACTACAGCTTAGCTCTGCTTGCTTTGTACAGAGCAAACTGACTGCCACCTGCAGGTGACAAGTTCAAATGCTTTGAACAGACCGGAGCTTTCCCTCGATGGCTATTTCCAGCTAACAAGCCAGTAGCTTACGTGACAGCACATGACAATTAGTAAATGCTCACTGGAAAAGTACAGCTAATACTGAAGACTGCCACTGTATTAGCAGTCACTTCAATTCGCACATGGAATTTGGATTATTTTTTTTTTAAATACTAAATACCAGAGAACAGCAATGCATTTCTTTAGCAACAGTGTCCCGTACCATGAAGTGTTTGTAGCATCTTGCAACTACTAACTAGTCAGTTTTAATAATCTCATACTAGACATTTCCCCAGCCTACAAACTTGCTCAAACACATCGATCTCAAGTTCACTGCAAAGATCAGCCATCCTTTCAGACTAGGGTTTCTCAAAACAGTTTAGTCAACTGAGATACTCAAAGTCCATCAAAATAAGAGGAATAGGGTTTCCAAATATCAGGGACAGACTACAAAAAAAGAAGTCATAAGTGCTGGAAGCATGAAGACTGGTTATTACTTGCTTTGGTATCTGAAAAATTAGAAAGAACCCAAATAAGCCAGTGACTGTTACCTCCACATCATTCATGGAGAACACGGAGCCAAAAATTTGTGTGAACCACTTGAAGTTCTAGGTAGAGTCAATGTCAGAACTATAACCAGAGCTCCGGAGCTTGTGTCCCAGAATTGTGTGCCTGTATCCTATCCTATGACCACAAGACATCATTTCATTGCATATCCAGGCTGATACCTTTGCTTGTATAAGACTTTTATCAATATTGCTATCATTTCTATAGTCATGAGCTCATAACACAACTTGCAACATTACTGAAAGAAACAGTACAGCCACCAACCTGCCAGGAGCAGTACTATGGGAACAGTACTCATTATTCTTTATTTAAGTTCTAAACCTTTCACCAAGGCCTACAAACCAACAGCTTGTACGCTTCTGCTAACAAGGGTCAGGCATAATCCATCTCAGCATTCTTCACCTCTTTCTCATCTGAAGGGCCACAATCAGAACTGTGTACCCTCCCAGTACAGTCAGCAAACAGTAAGGATCAAGGC